AATTCAGTTTAAGTTTGAATGCCTAAATCAAATTTTCAGACCTGTCTTTGAACTATTCAGTAATTTCATCTTTCAGGTTGCATAATCCAGAAGTCCAAATATTCCTTCTGCACTTTATTTAATGCTCTATTAAATGGCTGTCATTCTAAAAAAGCCATGTTACCTAAATGAAAAAGAGATTTTACACATTTAACAGAACATGCTTTACAAAAGTAGTTATATTTTTTTCCCACGTTCTACATGTGCCTCAAGTTGCTAAGGAAATTATTCGTCAGCACATAAGATTTTGAAACAGCAGATGGTTGCAGGTGAAGATGACTTTGAGTTACGCCAAAATGGGCATTGATGGGGATTTTAAATAATCTTTCAAGAAAGAGGAAAGGGATGCAGATAAGACTGAGCAAAATGCCCTCATTCATCTAATTTCTTGTCATTAGGGAGTGGCTACACTGAGTATAAATGTTTTATCGTATACTGGCTTCATTTAAATTCTGGATGGCTGGGCCTGCCACACCAGCTCAAATATGTGAGATTATTCTTGGAATGTGTCTCTGGTTGCATAGTGTTACTGAGCTGTGCTTTCAGTTGAGTTCTCTGAGCAGTAGTCTTGCCTTCAGGACGTAGGAAAAAATGGTTATCCTGACTGACACAAAGTTTTGAATTCTTAAAAATGTTTCTATTCTGGTTTTTAGAGGGGAAAAAATTAAAAAGTTAAAATTTCAAATTCTATGAATCAGTAACCAGAACAAAAAGAGACAAAAGAATGGATTGGGGTAGTTTAAATTCTTTCACCTCAATTTTATTGCTACATATTCTGATAAATTAGCATGTATTTCTAGCATGTAGAAATTAGCATGTTGATAACAAGTGCAGAACTGTGAGTACAATGTCTTTATTAAAACATTTCTATTTCTGTTTACAAGCTATTTCAAATGGTGGGTTTATGCTTTTAACAGTGAACAACACACTTTCTGAGCTGTTTCTTTTCTACCCATCTCCCATCCTATCAAAAGGTAATTCTGGCAACTGGCCTGTGCAGTATTTTAACTCCCTTTTGTCCTCGGGCTACCCTTCTCCAAGCAGCTATGGCTTAAAGACTGAAGAGATAAGAAAAAGCTTCTGAACAGCAAAGAGTTCCCTTAAGACTGATTGAGTACAAGTAAGAATTTTGACACAGCAGGTGGAAAGAATAAGATAGTAATTCTTCATTGTAGTGGTAACACCTCCACAGCAGAAGCAGTGTGTTTCTATCCTTGTGTAAATTTACCCCTATTTTATTTTTGTGGACCTGTTAGTCTTTGATGGACTGGCCATGAAAATTGTTTTTAGTCTCTGCTAAGAGTGTGCAGATTTATTGTTCACTACTGTTCCGTATTGGAGGTTTGTAGTTTCACCTGCAAATTAATGCTCCAATCATTTGTCATTAAAATTAAAAAATATTGCATGAAGAATCAGGGTACCAATATTTTAGTAGGTAAGCATGCTAATTTAAACCTCCTACCTCAAATCTAGATGCTTGGATTTTGTTGAAGGATGCCACGTTTAGTGCATTTCATCAGTAGTTATCATGCTCATGAAGTAGCACACTGAAAGTGAGTGCTGCAAAACACTGGAGGCAATTGAATTTTGAAGCTGTCTGGTTGGTAAACTATTTCACTGTGAAATGTTTTATTCAAATATCACTGTTGTCTCCTACTGAGAACAGCAACTGAACTTTTCATATTCTACTTTTCAGATTTTACGTATGAACTTTATTTATATTCTAGAGTATTTGTAGTGACCTTCACCAGTGAAACCAGGACTTGGAATGCTGCTTTTACCTCAGATATTTTGCTTTGTTGTCATTGGTAAGCCACTTATCAGTCAGTGTTGAAAAAGGACAAAACAAAGAATCATCAGGGTTGGAAAGGACCTTGAGATCATCTAGTTCCAGCCCTCATGCCATGGGCAGGGACACCACACACTAAACCATGTCACCCAAGACTCTGTCCAGCCTGGCCTTGACTATTTAGGTTTGCACACTAATTCTTAGACTTCACAAGCAGAGCAGACCTTTTTTAATGTTCTAAAATACCATGAGCATGTGTAGTTGTTATAACCTGTTGCTTTTTTCCCTAAGCATTTGAAAGCTTTAAAGGCATCCAAAACAGATATTGACTGGAAGTAATACTAGATCTGACTAACATGACATAAATGCTGATCCTGCAGGACACCTACATAGAGATGCAGTTTCATAAATTCTCTTTTTTATAATGGGAACATGTTCATGTTTTAGTTTTGCTTATTCTGCAGCTTTTCTGTGTCATTTCAACCCTTCACTCTGTAACAAAGGGATATTATCAATTGCACAAGGATATTGAAAGAACTAAATAATAGATGAAGATACAAAACATTGTCTCTTCATAAATAAGCAATGCTTAGTAACAATGCTATAATTAATTCTGCACAAGCTAAAAGGCTTCTAATAAAAATATTAAAATCCTACCATGTTTTAATTATGTGCTTTAATTGCATAAAACTAAATTCTTACCCTCCACTTTCTACCATTCTTCATGACATTGACATCTTTCTTTTGTAGTTTTTTTCATTGTCCTTTCTGACACTGTGCTGGTGGTAGCAGGGATGACTTGCAATGTACATGCAATTTGTATACCATAAAGTCCAGATAAAGTCACTGTAACACTCTGGGACTGCAGTGCTAGACCTTTTTGGACAGAGAAATAGGGATGCCCCTGAGACCCAAGGCAAGGAGTTAATTTTAAGTTATTTCTTAAAATAAGTTTATAATGAGTGAATATTTGAATAAATATGTGAAAGACAACAGATGAATTTTGGATCTAACTTGAGAGATTGGCTCAACATGTAATACTTCCCTAAAAATACATCAAAAGAAATTAGCATTTCCCCCAAATCAGCTGTTTAATAATATGACTGGTTATATACTCCACAGAATAATAAAATGGCAGCTACTGCAGTTGAAGGATGAAAGAGTACCATGATTCCTTTCTCAACAGCATCAAAGCAGTCATTACACTTTTGATAGGACCAGGTGAACTCATACTGTGGTGGGCAGCTCACATTCCTGTTGGTCCATGTGATAGTGATGGAGGTGCAGAGTGGCTTGCAGAGGGAAGTAAGTGCTTCAGGATTCAGCAGATCTGCCTTCTCCCAGAATCCTGTACTGAGCAATTTAGGAAGGCAGATGCTGCTACTATACAGTCCTGAGCACACAAATGCAACTGAGCCTCAGTCACATTTTGTTTCTTCTTGCTGCTTGGAATAGGCAGACGATCGGGCATGTTTTCCACTTCTGAAATACATCCTATTACTTGGCACGTTTGCTGTTCAACTGAAGCACTGAGCTGGCTGGAAATCTCCCCATTCCAGATGGCCAACTTCATGGTGTACTTATGACATAGATACGAACAACACCATGTAAGCTAATATAAACCAGTACAGACTCAGCTGTGGATGCAGTTATATACCATAACTTGATAATTCAACTGTTTTTGAAATATAACTGCTTCACACAGAGTTAGTTTTGTTTCTCCATGTATGAAATAGTTTTTGTATGAAATCACTTGTATGTAATCACACAGATTTCATCCATTGTGTTTTGGTTAAATTTCATTCTAGAACTGTATGTATAAATCCTGTGCCCAGTTCCCATTGATTTAGGTGGGAATTCCTAATTCTCTTGAGATATTTTGAGTTTCCTCCTTTAAATGTATAGAGATTTGGCATCTCTGCCTACTGCATTATAGTTCATCAAAACATCTTGAATTATAAACAGGATGGAAAGGAAAATGCAAAGGGTACGTGCTTGTACGCTTCCCTAGATAGGAATGGAAATAAATCAAGTTCTTTGGAAATGTTTGTGATTTATTTTAATGTCTTTAGAAGACAGAAGGCAGATAATAATTTTTTACAGGTTTTTTAGGACACAAATCATTGTACTGTTAATTCCCATCATTTTCCTTGAAAAAGAAATATTTTAGGAGTCTCATGGTTATGTTATGGCTTTTTAGCTTAAGCAACTAATGAATTATTCAAATGAATTAGATTATAAATGTTGTGGATTACTAGCTTGTTTATATTATCTGTCATTGCTACTTGCATAGAACATGCAATTTTATGTTGCAATTAGATTTATGGATACAAAGTAGTTCAACAATCTGAAGAAGCAAATGCCAGAGTTTTCAAAATATTTAAATCATATGCCCCTTTCTGATCTTATGGGAGTGGAAAGAAATGTAGCTTAGTTTAGAAGAGATATGGTATAATAGTAAATAAATAGGCAATTTTGATGTAAAGTGGGGAGTGTTTTCTTAAACTCCCTCAGCAGTTGGCATTAATTGAAGCAGAATAAAATATGTTATTTGTAATAAGAATTAAATCATGCACAATTGTATTTACTAGAAATGTCATTTGGCCTGCCTCAGGCGCAATGATAAAGGCTTTCACAATGGCTTTCAAACCATAAGAATGGAAGAGTCTTCTTTTTGAGAAGATGCAGAAATTATAATACTTTGGTTCTCAATCTGATTTATATGTGTGCATGGGGGTAGTTTATTTGTCTGGTTTGCTGCTGATTTAGTTTGTTGTTTTTTTTTTTTTTTTTTTTATTACTATTTTTTCATTGCTGCAAAATGGTCCTGACTACAAGTGGAGTATCTGGTTGCTCTTCTGGCCCAAATGGAAATGATGCATGTCAAATTTCAGCACAGCTATGGCCAGGTTATAGATAGTGTTAACTGATGTCAGCCAGCTTTATAAAGCTGTTATCTCTTAAGATTTTACCTTATTTGTCTTTAGAACAGTGCATTTTCTCACTTCATGCAATTACTGAAGAGTTCTAAGTAATTTTGATAACAAAACCCCAAGGCAACCATCTTTGCAATGTAATTTCCTGTACCTGTATCCCAGCACATTTAATACTAGCTCTCATTTGTCAAATGAGACATCAGCACATCAGCAGCCTGTTTATCTTGACATTTCAGGTGGGGAAATGGGAGAACAACTCCCTGAGCCTGAAGTACTCTGTCTGGCCAAGGTACAGCTCTTTCGCAGACAGTGACCCTGACGATAACCATTTGAGTATTGTCACCCTGGAGGAGGCTCCCTTTGTCATTGTTGAGGATGTGGATCCTTTGATGGAAAGTTGCCAGAAAAATACTGTGCCATGTCGTAAATTTGTCAAAATTAAGTAAGTAAATACACAGCATTCCTTTTTTTTTTTCCTGAGTGAAAACTATATTGCTTATTTCATTATATAACTGTTTTCTGATACTTTGCTTTTTTCCTCTTGATTCCTATCTTTGCTTTTCCTTCTGTATTTCATTTCCAGTTTCTTCTCCTATTTCCCACGCTGTATACTCTTGATTGCATATCTTCTTTATTGTTGATAGAAATAAATTGAAAAGTTCTGGTTATAGACACAGAATTCACATTGAATTAACACGATAGTAAGTGTATAGCAAATTCAAAGTCAACTAGAATTTGCCTTTTTCAGTCACATGGAAGAAGAATGCACTCTAAAATAGGATTGCTTTAATGAGTCCGCTTTGAATTCTTTCCAGTTATGTTGAAATATGCCTGTTTTAGTTTGTCTTTAACAATTTCAGAGTATCTCCTATTGAAAATGTATGTTTATGCTGAAATTTGGTACAGGATAAACTACTCCAGCATAAAAAAGCACTGTGACCCATCATATAGAGACAAGTCCCCTGTTTTTATTTCTTTGGAGGAGTCATTAGAAATCAGTGGAAAATTTATCTTTGTGAATTTACTGGTGTTGATTCACCATTCTGTGCTTCAGTCTACATATTTATGAACTGATTATAATAACATTTTTACTGAGCAGGTGATAGGGACTATAAGGCATGTTTCTGAAGATTTCCAGAGACTCCTAAATGGTTGTGTACATGCTTCCTGAAGTCCAGAAAAATATTTCTTTTGACATAACTGTAGTTGGTAAAGTTTTAAACTAGTTTTATTTTAGTTTTGAATTCTTTCAAAGGCTTTAAAATACTGCCTTGGCTTCTGAAGACACTTATACTAGAAATTTCTAGAGTCATGTAGAGTCATGAAATTAACATTTCAGAAAAAAAAATAAAGGGAAATCTTCATGTTTGCACTCAAAGGTGGCCTGAAATTCACCTTCTCAAAGTACAGAAAAAGCTGCACCATTCATTTTCGGTACAGGGAACTGCTGTACCTTTATATAACATACATGTTGGGAATTTTTGTAATTACTAAATGATATGTAGTCTTCTGTCTTAAGAATAAAAGTAATAAATGTTTAATCCTGGTATAAGAAAGAGATTAGTGAGAGGAGACTATGTCTTGATGGAGAAGTGCGAGAGGCTAGATGCTGAAGCAGAAAGCATGTCATAAAAGGTCTACTATTATCTTCCATCTATTTCTCATCAAGCAACTGTGCTATGACTAGTGAGAGCTACAAACACCATATAAAGCATCCTGTGGATTGTTTCTCCATCGATTCAGGAAAACACGGTCATTCACAAGTACGACAAAATGTCATTTCAGAGTATGCTGAATTTTGCTATTGTGGTTCTTCTGTTTTTCCCAGTAGAAATGTTTGTCTTTCTTCTCTGTTGGCAGCAACTCAACTAATGAGGGGACTAATGTAAAGAAGTGCTGCAAAGGATTCTGCATTGATATCTTGAAGAAGTTGTCTAAAACTGTCAAGTTCACCTATGACCTGTATTTGGTGACTAATGGGAAACATGGCAAAAAAGTCAATAATGTGTGGAATGGAATGATTGGTGAAGTAAGTTCTGTTAGGTAAAAGATCTCTTAAGAAGTTAGCAATGTTTGTTCTTCATTCTTTTGGAGAAATGAGGTATTCTCTACTGAGTAATATTGGTGGTGTCTTCTCTTTGTGGATCAGGTGGTATACCATCGTGCAGTTATGGCTGTGGGGTCTCTCACTATTAATGAAGAGCGCTCTGAAGTGGTTGACTTTTCAGTGCCATTTGTTGAGACTGGGATTAGTGTCATGGTGTCACGGAGCAATGGCACAGTTTCACCATCTGCTTTTCTAGGTATGATTCTCCAACCCATCCAGATAATTTAATTGCATTTCTATAGAGTTGGGCAGGTTATATTGTTCATTAAGCTTTATGGTGCATTGACATATTTCTGTCAACTTTTGAATTCTTCATTAGGAAGTTTGTACTGTGTTGACCTGCTGATTAACGTGACTATTAGCACATGAAGATAGTGCTGTTGGTTTCAGATGCAGTGAGTGAAAGCAAATTATTTCAAAGTGAAAAAAGAATTCCCAAAATCATCAGTTGGAAAAATTACTTCCTCAAAAACTGCTTCTCTACAAACTATGTGATGCTTGTTTAGCCCTTTATAAATGGTTTCATATCTTTTTAATATTCACATTCACAAAATAATTTAAAAACAACTTGTAGAACAGCTAACAAAAAGAGACTTCCTTATAATCAGAAGAGGTCTGACAGCTAATTCAATAACAGTTCCCTCTGACTTCTGAACACTGTACTACTGCACTGGAGAGCTTCTGAGTGTTTTCTCCATTGATGCAATTGAGCAGTGGAATTGTGATGATGCAGCTGAACAGTGGAGATATAGCAAAGAAATGAAAGGCTGAGCAGAAAGGACATGGGATATAAAAAAAACGAAGACTTCGGTCTTCTTTCCTTGTTTGCTTCTTGTTTCAATTATTTCTCCTTTCATTATTTTCCTCTCCTTCTCTTCTAGGGTTTAGCGTTTGCTTCTCTATTTAGTGCTTAGCCTAAATTTACCTGAATCTGAAAAGAGAATGAACCATGACATGGATCAAAAGTGCCTGGAATGCTGTTATGTTCCTCATAGTGTACTTGGGGACAGTATTTTTAAAGACGTTTGGCAGTGGAAAATAGTGCTAGTGACACTAAAATCATTTAAGTGATACTGGAAAATTAAACAACACAAACCCAAACAACCCCAAATCCATCCATATTTTCCAGATGTCTTGTGGAACAGTCTAGTATGTTCAAGTCCAGTGATGCCTTTTTTTTACGTCACTGATGGTAGGTTTCTTTTAGATTGCCGAGTGTAAGTTCTTCACTTCTACTGAAATCGCTTGTAGCCATCGAGGAGCAGATGTTGGTATAGTATCAGCTACAAGTGGACAAATGTTTGGGTTTTCTTGCCTGAGAATCATCATTTAGCAACAGAGTTTATTTCTCATACCTGTTTCATAAAGGTACATTACAGAGATGATGCAAATAAGTATAATACAGTGAGTAATCAAATAACTTCCCAAACATAGAGATACCTAAACAGATTTTGTTGGTGGTTTAATATTTTTGTTTAATGAATTAAAGACTTTTAAATTAAATCATAAGAGTCTGTATTTTAATAAAAGTATTCAGATAGTATCTTTTCATTTCTCTAAGTCATTGACTTGTAAAGATAATTCATTTTTTAAATTGCAGTTGCAGCATGTTGAAATTATCATTTGAACTGTAAGTACTGGAGTGCTTTCTAAATGTACTGCAAATGCAGTTGATTTTTACTATAGAATCTGCTTATCTCTTAAAAACCTGCTTACAGCTACCATCAAAAGAGGCAACTTTTGCATTTTCCACAACATATTTCTTAGATTTCTAAAATGCATTTAATGTTATTTGTTCAGTTGGGTGAACATATAATTCAAATGGCAAATAGCCCCATCTCATAAAGCTCTATAGAATAACATTAATTTTGAAGAAATCTGATTTTTGTAGCAATAAATCAAGTCTGTGCTCTCAGAAGTATGTTCTGGCTTTTTACACGTAGATAAAACTTCCACTTTACTGGAATTGACTGTCTATTTTGAGTAGTAACAGGCTTTGCCATGCAAAATACTATCAGCCAGATAACTGAATTTATTCACAGACTGATTTTATTTCAGTTAAGTGAATGTCTACAAACAGAGTCATTTTACATCATTCTTTTAAAATATTTTTTTTAAATCTGTCAAATACAATATTTTTTAATAGCCCTTGATGACAGCTAATGAAATATCTGCTTTTGTGATTTGCTACTATGAATGTAGACCGGTACAGGGTTTTGTCTGAATTAGATTTTCCATCCAATTGTTGTGTCCAGTAGATCTAAGGAACTGCTGGGCTGACAGCCTTTTCCTCATTTTCTTCTGTGTTCTGACTCTGATATAGGTGTCTTCTTCAAATGAGAATTTTATCCACATTAAAACATTTTCTTATTGTACTACAACTAATATGCTTGATCAACAAATGAATTATTTAAAGATTCTGTAGACATCTGATTCAACTTTATTTAAACAAACAAAATAAAGGAAACCTCAGTTCCAACTATCTATGATTTTAAGAGGGTGAGAATTCATAAGTGAGGTCAGTTTTCTGTTTTGGAGGCATTGGTGGAATACGAAATCTATGCCCCTATTTATTCTCTGTATTTTTTAAGTACTGTTTTGGTGGGAGGTAAACCTCAAAGTTAGTGAAGTGCGGTATGTTTTTCAGTGTTCTCCATTGCCAATCATTTGAAATATACACTGGCAAGTCATACATTAGTATTTTTCTGCCATATCATAGCTTTACTAAAACTTCTTCTAAAACCTGCTGTTTGCCTGAGGGAAGTTCTCTTTGTGCCCTTTGAGAATCAAAGAGCAGTGCTGAATGTGGAATGTGATCTCTAATATGACAGGAAAATCAACTTTGTTATTCCATTGATTTTGTAGTTGTTCAGTCTTGCTGCTTGCTAAATAGCTTTTTATTTTCCTATGGCTTCTTTTCATCCTCCACCTTATTTACCAGGCTGCTGAAATTATTAAAGAGCGTTCTGCTTAAACTGTTATTTGTAGCTCACTTATTCACATCTGCTTGTTTTGCCCTTTGCCTTATTTAGGTTTTGACAAATCACCATTGCTGTTTCTACACTGATGCTTTTGATAAGAGTTTTATCAACTTGCTTTCTTCAGTCAGAATGTGGTCAAAATTGTATAATTTTATGTGAATTCCAATTTAATCCAGTTAATACATCAATTCATAGAATACTTGTTATTAACTATTTGGCTACATAATACCCTTTACTTGTCTGCATTTGAACAGATCTTTCTCTGCCTTTTAAGAATTCTGTTATTTTGCTAACTTACTATTCTCTTTGAACCAACAATTACACTAGTTGAGAGAAGATATTTCCATGCTTGGGCCCAAATAATTATACTTCATTCTAGTTCTGAGTGAATCATTCATGCTAACTCAGGCAAGGTTCAGATTATGCTATTGGATTTAGCACAACCTCATTTCCTGCAGTGGTGGAAGAATTTTTCAGTGGTTCAAATCTTAATTTAAATCCAAAGAATGAAGAAGTTAGGATGGAGGAACCTCCTCATCTTTCAAACACAGGCAAAGCATTGAAACAACCTTATTTCTTCTTATTTCAAGTGTTTCTGAGTCTGTGCTAATTTGAAATAGCATATTAAGATTGTTTTCCTCCCACTTCAGAACACACTCACACTTCCATTTTCTATCAGAATTAGTGTATAAAGTGCCCCACATAAGCTGATCTGGTAAAGAGGTATGACTGCCATACAAAACATTTCTTACATATATCCTTATACCATGACAGCTACCATGACAGCTTCCACAGGGACTCCTGAAATGACAGAAAATTTGTGAATTGGGCAGTGTGATATTTAAGAACTTCATGTTATCATATACGAGATCACATATCCTTACCACACCCAGTCCTTTCAAAAAGTTGGTATTTAGCCTGGTATTTGAAGCTGGGTTTAGATTTCTGTTCCAACCTATATCTTTTATTTAAATCATGGATTTCTGTCTTTCAATCTGACTTTCAGTTTTCCATAAAAACCTTCTGATTTCAGAAATTTGCTTCCAGATGAGAATGAGATTTTCAAAAGGATATGTTTGCAATTGGTAAAAACAACATCTTCGTTGCAGGTAGATGAAATTAAACACAAAGAGAAAAAAAAACAAACTGAAATTAAAAAAATGAGTTTGAATGCAGGTACTTAGCTTTCTTCTGTGACACCTTTTGTTGGCTAGAAAATGTGAGTCTACTTCACTCAATTACCAGATGTATTAAGCATATGCTTAATTGCTTTTGCTCTGCAGATACAGTTATCATGGTTCAACCATTCTGTTAATAAATGCATGTCACACTGTTTAGAAATGGACTGTAGGCAGAATAAGCAGTGAGTCAAACCAGTTATTTGCCACTCAGAGCCAGTGAAGGCTTTGTCAAGAAAAATTGTGCACCCTTTGTTTTTGAATTGTAACTTAGGTTTAAGATTCTGACTTTATGAATTTTGGGTAATATGCTAACAGCAGTTCTTCATATATTGGTACTTAGCTATTTGCTGGCGCTTTTTTTGGTAAAAGCTAATTTAAAGAAAACTGCTGGACTTGCCTAGCCAAAGACATTAGAATTCTTGGACTGGTTTAATGAACTGTTTCTCTTGTCTGTTTTGCTGCAGAGCCTTTTAGTGCTTCTGTCTGGGTGATGATGTTTGTGATGCTTCTCATTGTGTCTGCCATGGCTGTCTTCATATTTGAGTACTTTAGTCCCGTAGGATACAACAGGAACTTGGCACAAGGGAGAGGTAAGCTTTGCATTTTACACAACCCTGGAACTATAAAATAATAATGTATTTTCCATCCCTTGCCCTCCATCTTTTAAAATCCTGAGCAGTGTGCTCTAGGTGGCCCTACTTGTGCAGGAAGATTGGACTAGATAACCTCCATGATCCCTTCCAGACTCAAAAATCAACCATTCTGTGATTCTGTGAAAATAAACATAACATAGGAATTAAACAGTGAAAGCACCTATGAAACTTTGTTCTTTGTAGAAAATATGGTTTCTTAAGGGCTTATATGCTCATGTTTGTATTCTAATTAATAGGGATCATCCTATAGAAGGGTAAGTGATACCAGGGAGTTGGATTCAGGCAGTATATAGTTAGCACACAGTTTCGCTTGTACAGTGTACACATTCACAGTTAGTTCAGAGAAAGTGATCTAATCTGATGTGGAGGATGATCTGGAAAAATAGCAGTTGCTTTGTACATAGATTTATATATTCCCTGCAAATGGTCTGATGAACTCAGCCTTGAAATGAAGCCACTGGTAGAAGAGCATCACTTCTTCCTGTGTAGCATCACTGGTTATAGAAACCTCAATTCAAAATATACCAGCACAACAAATTTAATACACAGCTTGCCTCTCTCAGTGAAAGTTGCAGTTCTTTATTATTAACACTTTGACCTGAGAATGAGGATTCCATGTATTGTGGTGCCCTCATCCTTCCGTTTTTTTACTAAAGAGTGCAGCCTGGTTTTAATTTCTAAATTGCATTTGCTTTATTTTATAACAAGAGATCTTCCAGCTTGGCAAACATAGTTTGGAAACTATTGCAAGCTAATGGTTTCTTCTAGATTATGGTTGGCCTGTTCCCTGAAAAAAGGTATTATTTCAATGTTCAGATAATGTTATCATTTCAATAAGATGGTAAATGTGTAACCTCTGTCCAAAATCAATACTATGTTTAGGAAGAGGATATTAAAGGTGGGTAAGGTCACTGGAGATCTAGGGGTAGGCTGTTCTTTTCTGTGCCACTTCATGTGCCAGAATTATTTGCTGTACTTACAGCTGCAAAGGCATATTATGGTATCCTAATGCAGCTATAGAGACTTGCCACAAATCCAGCTGTTGTTCATTTGAAACATGGAAGCTTAAAATAAATGGAAATCTTTCTGTAGATTACCCCTTTCCCTAAGCATTTTTGGCAGGATGAAGCTCAATGGTAATACAGTCTCCAGTAGCATGAACAGAACTTTAGACTGCTTTATTGATATATATTTTCCTTACCACTGTTGTTCAGAAAATACCTATTATCCCTGTATCAGCTCAGTCTTAAATGGTTCTAGAAGGTAGTTTCAGGAACCATTCACCAGCTCCATCACATTTATTTTACTGCACTCTTCTTAGTACTGCTGCAAAATAGAAGATAACCTAAGATGTAGTGCTTGATTGCACTGTGAAAGATTTGCACTGTATTACAGTGTTTCTATTGAAATTATAACACTCACTAAGTATGCCCACTTTCGGTTTTATTATTTTATTAATAATTAGATGATTATTAAAATAAATTATGATTATAATAATAACTGAGTTTATAATGTGTATCTCCTTGGCAAAAAGGATGGATCAGGGAAGGAGGTAGGATTACAGGTGTCTGCATCAGAGCTTATTGTCTGCATTGCCATTTAATTGAAAAATAGACAGCTATAAAACTGTCAGATGAGTCACAGTCAGGGGAGGCCTGTTTCTTTCTTTTGAGGATAAAGGAGTATAGATGGTGAGCAATATGTGATGTCTGCAGTGTACTTACCCAAGTCTGCCTAAGAACAAACTTGGCATCGTTTAAGCCCAGTTGGTAACTTAGAACCACGCAGCCGCTTGCTCTATTTCCCCGTTCTCCCCTCTGCTCCTGGGGGGGTGGGGAGGAGAATCAAAAGAATGTTAACTCCCACGGGTTGAGATAAACACAGACCAGTAACTAAGGTATAACATAAACCACTGCTGCTACCACCAATAATAATTGATTGATGGCTTGGCTTCGCGAGCGAAGATTTGGGAAGGGCTTTAACCACGCTTACTGCAAGCACGATGACCAAGGGCATGTGGGATATACAAATCTGGTGGAAAACCGTCCTAGCTAACTGGGCTCTGGCAGTTAAACCTCAGGTTTAAAGGGTGGGGCCAGTTCTGTGCAAGCTGCGCTTCACCTAAAAAATCCACTGCGCAGGCTGGAAGGGCTTACTCTCACTTGTCTGTATGGACAGGCGAGGGTCAAAACAGTAGGTGACAAGGTGTGGGGGAAGCTGCAGATCCAACATTGCATGTGGGTGGACCAGCACATGGGTAGCTAGAGTTACCACCGATAATAATAATGATAAGGGAAATAACAAGGGAAGAGAATACAACTGCTCACCACCCAGCCTGACCTGAGCAGAGATCTGGGCCTTCCAGGTAACTCCCTCCAGTTTATACACTGGGCATGACGTGCTGTGGTATGGAATACCCCTTTGGCTGGTTTGGGTCAGGTGTCCTGTCTCTGCTTCCTCCCAGCTTCTTGTGCCCCTCCTCACTGGCAGAGCATGAGACTGAAAAGTCCTTGATCGGAGTAAGCATTACCTAGCAGCAACTAAAAACCTTAGTGTGTTATCAGCCGTGTTCTCAGGCTAAAGTAAAAAATACAGCACAGCACCAGCTACTAAGATGGGGAAAAAATCACTGCTACAGCTGAACGCAGGACACCTTTATTCACACAGGGCTCTCACAGGTCTTTTAAGTGGATAATAGCATTGCTAATCCACTTCTGCTGCTGCGTGGGCATGAGGGCATTGTGCTGACAACTTCTGCTTGCTTTGGGATGAATGAAAAGCTGAATGCAAACAGGGGTAACAAAAATTACAGAATGGGTCAGCTGGGACAGGTTTTTACCTGTAACGACAACATGTTTGAAGCCATGGAACTGACTCTGAGCACGTGAGGTTGCCGGAGTCTGGTTTGCTGTAAGTCCCATATCTATACAGGCAGCTTCTCTGTGTTGACTTACTGATTTAGTCTCTGAGTGCAAAGTTGCTTAATGTAGGTGATGTGTAGCATAATTCACATCTTTTAATCTTAAATATGCTTACATAAACTTCAGAAAGCATAATTTTAGAAGTCTGAAGTACTAGAATTGAATCATTAAGACTTAAACCCACAGTTTCTCATTTTACATGTCTGCTGAAAGGGGCAGTACTGTGGCCCCTACCTTGCTGAAGAGACGTACTAGTTTGCTTCTCCTCCAAACTTATGCTTTCCATTTGCATTTTAAAACTTTTGAACTAAATGCCACATAGAAAAATGTTACATTATTTTTTAGAAATGTGGAAATTAATGTCATTATAATAGAGAGTACATATGGTAAATCCCTTCATTCCATGGGAGTACATTGAGTATGTATTGAAATATTTTTTAACCATGTTAAAATCATGTGAGCAGTTGTTATTATGCAGGGTATCTTCCCAAGGTTTAATTGAACTGCAACTAAAATAATAGCTCTTTGCATTTACAGATCCCCATGGACCATCCTTTACCATTGGAAAGGCAGTGTGGTTACTCTGGGGCTTGGTATTCAACAACTCTGTGCCTGTGCAAAACCCCAAAGGGACGACAAGTAAAATCATGGTGTCGGTTTGGGCTTTCTTTGCTGTCATTTTCCTGGCTAGTTACACTGCCAACTTAGCTGCCTTTATGATTCAAGAGGAGTTTGTTGACCAAGTGACTGGACTGAGTGATAAAAAGGTAGGTCTTCAGCTCAAAAGAGATCAGTGCCCATTCTTCATAATCCTCTACAACTTTGTGCTAAAAAAATCCTCCGAGTGAATAATAAGCTGAAACTGGACAATTTCATTCTGAGTGTAAGCCTTTACTAAGAAATCTAAGACCCAAAGCATTAAAATATCAGACTGTTTTCAAAGTCTGAGTTGCCTTTTCAAAAGTAACTGCATTAGTTGAAGAGTACCTTAACTTTGTGATGGAAGGCAATTCCTGGTTGAGTAAAAAGAATGCTTCACCAATAGACAAAAGCTTGAAAATTGTAAGTTGGCTTGAATGCAGAGAAGACGTATTTAAAATTATTTGACCATCTCTATGTGGAATATTAATAATACATTAATTGAAAAAATAGGCATAAAACAAGCAACTGTCCAGTAATCATCAGAAGCTAGTTAATGCTCCTGAAAAAATGTCTTTTTGCTTTCTATGTTGTGTGCAAGGAAGTTATAGAAAGAGCTCAGATTTAAAGTGATGCCAGCACAAATAAGCAAAGAGAAATAGCAAAAAATTATACATATTGTCTTTTTGAATGTTTTTGTTGTATAAAACAGCAGGAGGAAAAAAAAGTAAGAAAATTTGAGGTTTTGTATTATCACATGGAAGTGAGATGTAAGATATATGAGATAAGGTGCAGAATTTTGATGTGTTTGTGGAAGATGTTTTCCTAATTTCAGAACCTTTGTGAGAACTTTACTTTGAAAATTTTATTCATCAACGTAGACTCTGATAGTTCACTTAAACCCTGCTTGGGTTTCACACAAACTGACAAATAATAAATACACTTCTTTTTCATTTTGTTCTAGCTTGACTGAACTTGCTTCTCCTGAAAGCATACTCCCCAGAGCTTTGTGAAATTTAATCAATAATGTTATACATCAGAAACCTAGCAGTTACTTCTCTTTTATTTCATTTGTTTGACTGCTTTCTAATAGTGCTGTTGCATGGAGGGATTAAAGCCCATTTGCAGAATGATTGTTGTGATGAATAGGCTCCAAATACATGGAGGGCATGCTGTTTTCAAGTTTGTGCCCAGCTGTTTTAAATTGAAGCTAAATATTGACTTTAGAAGTAATGTTTAAATACAGTATAGCACAGGGGAGAATTCCACAAGGGATTTCTCTCAAAGGACAGCAAAAAAAGGAAATTGTTATTCTAAAGAAGGCAACAGCTCAGATAGCCTTTAGTCTGGTTTTTATTTTAACTGCTTTTTATGATCAGCTTTTGATTGATTGCCTGAAGTATCAAAGCATGAATTGCAAGCATGGCTAGAGGAAAGACAGATAAAAAGAAACAAAAAATGATAGTATTTTGTTTTTATTAAGTTTTTGTTATAAAGCTTTTGAAAGAGTACCAAGATTGTTAAATATACCTTTATTTTAAGACAATATTCTTAGTAAGTAACAGATAAAAGGGGCTTTTCTCTTGATGATTAAAAAAAGGGATTTGAGAAATGTCTGTCTCCTATTTGTGAGAAAGTTTTCCTGGGAAGTCTTGGGTTTGGTGGGATTTGGCTTGCACCTGGCACAGCTCTAGCATCTGGGTCTGCCAGGGCACCCTTACCTCCCTTTCATTGCTGGCTGTTTGCTATTCCCACCTATGGGCTGGGAAGATGCCAGTATTTGATCTGTAGCTTTTGGCTAATAACTTCCGTATTTTTGTTATTTGTTTATTCTCTCTGCTCAGTAGGATTTTATTTCCACAAATATAAGCAAAATAAAACTAGAAAAATACTTGAATCAGAAAATACCATCTGTTTTCGTGTGGTCTGCTCATCATTTATTTGATCTGCCACCTTTGGTTTTATTTTATGGTTCTTTGGCCTGAAGCATTGAGATGAATCAGGGTTGCCATACCTTTTCTGATTAAACTGAACAAGCCAGAAGCCCAAAAAAGCAATGAGACATTCAAAACATTATTTTTGTTGTGCACAGGTTTTGCCTCTCCACAGTCCTGAGGTTTCTCAGTTAGTAGAAATTCAAATGCTTAAAGGATAATTTATGGGAATGTAACCCAATTCATGGTAAATTATTTTTCTCCCCTCTTTGCCTTGTTGCTGCGATGTTACTGGTAAGAGAATAGTTCAGGAATTTGCAACCACTTTTACTGTTGTTCAGCAGGGAACTCTGACCCTTGCTGCATGCAAAGCAGCAGGAGGCAGAGGCCAGTGAGAAGGGACGGAAGTATGGGTGAAATTAATTTAAAATAGTAACATGTAGAAGTTTAATACATTTTTTAAAAAAGTCTGGGCTGGTAAATCAGTTTCCTTTTTTTCCCTCTCCCCCTTTTCTTATTGCACAACTGAAGAGTCAAGCTCTTTTGTCAGTGCTGTATTATCATTGCATTAAAGTATTCCCAATTAGAGATACTGGAGATTCTCAGTCCAGCTCTGTGTGGCAGACTGTAGAGAAGAGAAGCCAGGAAAATCCCTTCTATCTCTGTGCAGTCATCTCTGTCCTTCAGCATTCAACATCTTCTCACTGGTCCACCAGGTTTGCTGAACACATGATAATGTGCAGTTTACCCCTCATTGCTTTAAGACAGCTCGATAGTTTCCTCAACCTTCCTAATGTTGCTAATAGATTTCTGAAAGCCATGTTATCTATGTGGCATCAGAAATACATGGCACAGCATGTACTGGAGTTACTAGGGGTAGGTGTTCATAAACTCAATTCAGAAAATGAGAAGAAAATTATATTTTGACATTCTTGTGTATGCAAAAGACTTTTTAAAAGCATTGTGTTCATAGAAAGGTACAGAAAATGGGTCCAAAAGTACCCAGCAAAGCTGGTATATGTAGCACTTGTAAGTTTTGAGACTATTTAAGCCCTTTTCATGTGATGAAAGAGTGATAAGATTGCTAAAGGAACATAGGTAGCAGTGGACAGAATTGTCTTGCAAAGTATTTATCTGCTGTGATTTCATGTTTTAAGAAATGCCCCATATATACAGTGATCTAGGGGATTCTCTTCAGCCTTAACAGGAAGCCTTAATGATGCCACTTGCAAGTTCCTTATTTTTGCAAGATTACAGTGTTCCTGTAACCTTGGCTTTATATCTTTGTGCAACAAGATATCACAAGGTCTAGAGTTACTAAGAGATATGTAGCAGGACAGGCAGGCTGAGGTTGAAAGGCCGCATGGATCCCATATCCCAACTTATCCAAATACATCTTGCTAATTCAATATTAGATCTTTACAGCGCTTTCTGAGGGTTGTCAGGCACAGATATCAACTGCATTTCAGTACCTGATGATTATAATAATAGTCTTGGAATTACTAATAGATATATTTTTCAAAGATCAGAAATCAGATTGTCAGCATTGTCTGGTAAAAGAAGAAAGGAGAGAGCTCAAATATGGGCACTTTTCCATCACTCCAAACCAGCCACAATTCCTGTTAAAATCTATGTTATCAGAGGGAGAATATTTACTATTTTCTGCTATTTTAGTAGTGTTTTCCTCAGAACAACAAAAAATAACTGCTCTGAATACCAGCCTTTTCAGGCAAGAATGCAAATCTTTGGATTAAGTCAGTATTTAACATTTGTGAAATGTGAAACTGTTGTGAAACAGTAAATACTTTACTGACTTAATGAGATGATTGTCAGTTATATTGGGTTTTGTTAACTGGAGTTGTTAATTATTTTGGAGTTTTGTTTGCATGTGCCACAATTCTAGCAGCTGGCAGAGCATGGGGAAAACAAGAACTAACTGGTCAGTCTAATAACAGTAGATCTCTCCAGAATTACGGTTCAAGCAGGTGGGAGTGCATGCAGTTTAAGGATTTTTTTAATGTTTTTTTTTTAAACTTAGCATTTCAGAAAATGTCTAGGAAGCAATTTTGCTTCCTAGCAGACATGATGCCTCTTATTTTCCATCATGGAGCTTCAGGGAAAATGAAACCATGTAGAGAGTTGATCCTTTTTTCTTTCTTGTTCTATGCCTGCCGCATAGCTCTTCACTGCAGTCACAGAGCCTGTGTGCTTCTCCAGGATGTGTCAGTTCATAGAATATAAGTTTAGAGTTATTGATGAGAACTTTAGACACCTTAGACACAAGTGCAGTGTAAGTAAAATGATTTTAACCCCTTTTTGCCTTCTTTACAAGTAGTCTGTGAGCAGGCAGTAGTAGCAGACAATTGTTTCAAACAAACTCTTTCCCATGACTTCAAATTCATTGCTTGGGGGTCTTGTGCCAAGAAGTTCCAGTCTGTGGATGGTGTTTGGAATTATTTATCTACTTGTTCTCCCTGTGATCATTGAATGAACTGGTCCTTTCATTAATCTCTGCTTTTCTGCAGAACTTTTTGTTTTCCATGAATGTATAATTTGTGACAGATACCTCAATCCCTTCAACTTTTCCTATGGGAGGAAATGCCTCCCAACATCTTAAACTCATCTGGATGTTCTTGAAAAGTGAGACTATTGAGAACCAAAGTCTGTTTCTAAGTTACTAGGGTAATGCACCCTAATCTCCCTGTTCTCCCAATTCCCCTGCCAAGGAATTGAGCTTGCAGAACGCACACCACAGCTCCATTTCCAAAAAAATGTCAGCTGGATGAGCAGCAGCAGTTTTTACAGGTCTGGAAATCAGTGTTCTTTCTTTAGTTGATTTTTTCCAGTTCTGTTGACTGCTAAATTTGATAAAAATACTAGGAGACTGTGGAAGCCATCTCACTACATTGGGGATTCATTATCTATAGATTTAAATAAAGTTAATAGCAAGCTGCATCTGGACATATATTTAAGAGCAGGGTTTGTTTCAGTGCTGCATAATAAACTCAAAAAAGGAGATAGCAAATATAGACTAAGAACCATGACTAGCATACAGTGTAATTTTAGTGCATAGGTCAATCAGTATGTGTAAAGTAGAGGCAAAGTAGTAATTTAAACAGTAAAGCTGTGAAAGGGGGAAATGAAGAAAGTAAGACATCTGTTAGCTAAACAAACAGAAAAATAGAGTTCATTCCTTTATGCTTTGTCAAAATATGCCTAATTAAAATGCAGCATTTAATTGTAGTTCTGTAACATGAAAATATTGTTGCAGCAATAATTTCACAGTCAAGGTTTGATGGAATTGAAAATACTCCCATTTTTTGTGTAAGCCTATTTGTAGTCTCTTTGCAGATTGGCACTGGATCCTGGGAATTCTTGATGCCCTGGGACCAAACATTAAAAAGAGAAGTTTTACATATGTAGCCCAAAGGAAGCAGCAGTCGTATAAATATTAGCTGTCTCTTGCAGCACAGGGTATTTAGATTTCTCTTCTAACTTCAGCAGTAAAGCCAGAATGTACTTTACCATGGAATTCATGGGTGACTGCTTTTATCAATGCTCAACTGAATTTCCTTATTAGCAAATAGTTCCTCTAATTTGAGTGGCCTTTTTAAATTCTTTCTTAAAGACACATTTCAGTTTAATCCTAAAGTATCACTTGGTATTTAAAGGGAGATATTGAAAAGATGCATATAAAATTTTTAGGTCTGTTGGCAAAGGCTTATGTGAGATAATCTGAATGAATTCCAAATCTGAAAGCTGAGTGTGCCCTGAGCTACTGTGATACCTTTGCAGACATTCCTTGGCTTGTTTGTGCTGATGTAATAGTGAGATAGAGGCTAAAATTGTAGGATAAAACTGTATGTCCACAAGCAAATGGTTTGTAGTTTTAAACTGTAGGAATAAATAGAGACTAGGCTTATAGGTGTGAGAGCTCCGGAAGCCCTTTTCATGTCAAATGATGTAGCTGCTGAGCCCCTGGGGAAGATGCAGAACTTTCATTCACTTGAATCAGCAGTGGAAGGAAAGGTAGCTCTTAACCTTGTCACTCCCTGCATACAAGCTTCCTGGGATCCCCTGAACCCCCCCCAGGAGCAGTGCCTCAGGCTCAAGTAGTGCAAATGATCCTTTTGTCTTCTTTGTATGGGATGCCCAGGTCCACAACTGAGATAGTGTGAAATGACTATGAACAAAATCCTGTTTTCTTTTGATTGCTGTTTACCAGTGTTTCTGCTTGTAGTTTGTGTTCTCTAGGGAGATGGTGACAGATAAGGAACATCTTGCAACATGTCTCTGCTTCAGTTTCTGCTCTCCTGCCATATTACAATGCATGGGAGAAGTTCGCATTAAAGTGGCAAAATTAAGCTTAGTTTTACTTTGGATGTAAATGTTTCTGTAAGTTCAGTTGGTGTGAAGACACAGTTTCTGGTATAATAGAGCTGAATTAGCCCACAGCATTTGTGTAGATGAAATTTGAGGTGGACAGTCTGGTTTTTTTTGTTGATTTTTTTTTCAACCTGAAGTTGCCTTTCTTCACATTTTGAATGCCTGAAGACCTTTGCTTTTCTCTTTTCTCTCTAGTTTCAAAGGCCACATGATTATTCACCTCCTTTCCGATTTGGAACAGTCCCAAATGGAAGCACAGAGAGGAATATCAGAAACAACTACCCCGATATGCACCTTTACATGACGAAGTATAATCAAAAAGGAGTGGAAGATGCCTTGGTCAGCTTGAAAACTGGGTGAGCTTTTTTCCATGGATTTTAAAGAATACTATTGACTTTGCAGAAACTGAGGAATATTGATCTGTACTTATAGCGATACTGAACAGACTGATGTCAGACATGCTGTGTAGTACATGGCTCTGTGCATGCACTGTATAGCTACCAGTAAGGACAATGATTGCCTTTGATTTGTATGACTAATTTAAAATTGCATGGAAGCTTCAATGTCCTAGGTCAGATAGATTCAAAGGCCAGAATTCTCAGATTTGAAGAGAGATGATACAGATAGGCCTTGACTCGTGTGGGGGCTCAACACAGACTGTGATGTTTTGTACAGTTCCTCATTTTTGCAGAACTCTCTCTCTCATAGGAATGTGTTTTCTCAGGGTGAATTTCTGACAAAGCTTGTTTGTCTGGCCTGTGTGCAATTACTTGTTACTTCTTTTCAATCTCCCATCCATTTGGTGTGCTTTTAGGTCCACTCTTACATTTTCTTCTCTCCTCTAATTAGCATGACCCTGTATATTTACTGTGACATCTGAAATATTGACTTTGATCTTTGTAAAAGCTGTTGAGATGAGATAGTCTCAAATGCAGGCTAATGCCTGCTTCTGGCAAATATTCTGGCAAATATTATAGTCTTTCTTCCTTAAGATCTGAGATTTAGACTTGAGTGCCATCCATCCTTTTCTCTAAGTAGCCCATTCTGCCTAGTTAGACAGAGACTGAATTCTCATTCTTAATCCTCATAAGGTATGAGTAACTCTACTTGTGTTGGTATTCATCTCTGTGACAGGAATGTGTTAGCTCTGGTAATCTTTCCTCAACATGCAGGGTTGATAAGAGCATGTGTATTTTTGTTAATAATACTGCATTACAACAATCATAATTTATCAATATAGATTGTTTGGGTTTGTTTTATTTCAAAGTGAGAATGCCAAGTTACCCACAGTGGATTTCAGTCCATCTACTCTGGTGGCTGTTTCAAGGCACACCTCACTTGCTATTATTTATGGTGAACACAGGACATAGTTCTTCCTATACCAAATTAAGCCGTTAGTTTTGGTCCTTTTGGGGGAATTGCTTGTCCTTTTAATTTTCTCTTCCCTTCTGCCAAGCATGTAGGGGATTTTAACACATTTGAGTCCCTGAATCTTTCCTTAGAGTGCAGGTTCTCTTCTTTGAAAAGTAATACTTCCTATTGTTTCTTGCTCTGATGAATCCACATTGTCTGGACTGTCATCACTGCTCAAAGCATCCTCAACTAGCAGTTCTCAAGCAAGGTTTGTCCCACCCTGATATAGACACGTAACATAACGTGAGATGAATCACATCCAGGTCTTCCAAACTGGAGGCAGAGCTCTTGTTCTGACCAAGGCTGTGCAAGTCACGTTTCCTGGGTGACAGCTAAATTATGCATTATAGATAGTCAGCTGAATGCTACCATTCCTGCTGCGATTTTTTTTAAGAAGCTGTCCTTAATTTCAACCATTTTTAGGGCTTGTTCAGTTGGATGGATTTATTGAGACAATGTATATTCCTTGTTTTTTTTACCAACCATTTGTGCTACTGGAAGTCCTGAAATATTGCTGTTAGCTTTAAAATTGTGCCACCTGTCAGATACTTAAGCATGAAAAAGGTGAGCGTGGAGGGTGTGCTACCTGAATGTGGGGGAGTTCAGGACATTCACTAAACCTCAGGCTGGCTGCTCTTGTGCCAGCTGCTGCTCTTCCTCAAAAGCTTCAGTACTTTTGACAGCATGGCCTATTCATTTTTTATAGGTTTTCTTTTTTCCGTGCTGGAGCTCCTTTCCTCCTCTAAGTGATTTCTCAGAGTGGACACCCTGGGTGTCTACCTTGCTTCCCTTGACTGACATTTCTGTAGCAGATGGTGCAAATAAGTTGCCATGTGCGGTGCTTTCCAGATCAATATAAGTAACTGCTACATACAGCTGCGCTCCATAGCATTTTGTCTTCTGGCACCTACAGAAGGATTAAACAGCATGCCATCAGCTGCTTTCAGTCTTATATCCTCCAAAACCAGAATTCTTCACTTTTTCTGCTAAATTTACTGTTCTGTTACACAGTATACATAACTCTTTCCTCAATTTTTTTATGCTTGTACTGTATCTTCTTCCTTTTTCAGGAATAATTTGACAGGATTGTCACTCTCTTCTATGTAAAGTTTGCCCTTTCATACTTACCCAGACTTGATCAAGCTTTCAGCTTTCCTATTTTGCTTGATCCCATGACTTTTAATACGTTGCCCCATGGAGCATTTTGAGGATGACTTATCTATCTCTCCTTCCTCAAACTGTTTCTGCTTCTGAGCAAATATATAATTTCTGGTTTTCTCTACAGTAGGCATGTGTTCTGCTTACTTGCTTAGAGCTATTTTGGCTGTTTTCATCTTTATGTCTGGTCAAAGCTATTCCTGTACATTTTTATTTTTATTTTTTTTTTTTTTTCATCTGCATCATCGGTAGCATACAAGTCATTTTTCTTAATGTGGTAAAGCTTGCTGCTTCAGCACAGCTTTTGGAAGATGAACAACCTAGTAATTATAGAGTCATAGACTATAGACCTGGGCAGGACTTGTAAAGATTGTCTGGTTGATAGCTGCTGCTGTGAGTCAAAATAAATAGTACCTGTCTTATTCCTAAAGAATGTTTGTATAACCTGCATGCATTTCTAGTCCCACTTTGAAAACTACTTGTGATTAATGGAAGACATAAAATTTAGTCCATTTTAATTCCTTATATATAGTGTTTGATTCTAATTTTAAGATGGAACAAAAAAATGCCAGCAATCAGGCAATGCTTAATCACTGAATAATGCTGCACACGTGGCATCTGATCTAAATAGAATCAAACTATCAGGTAGTCTCTTGTCACTGTTCAGTCTGGTTGTGCTGTATCTCAAATTCTTACATCTTTCAGTCAGCTTTAATTAATGTTAGGCTCTTGACATGTATTTGGAATATCTTGAACTTTGAGACCGTCATGTTGAACTGGAAGGAGAAAGTGGGAAAGAGACAAACATAAAGCTTCAGATGCACAGATTTTTCTAAGAGCTTTATTGTTCTTAAGACATGCATGTGTCCTTTTTTTCATTCTGAAAACAAGATAAAAAAAAAAACAAACTGGGTTTTTATCTTGCTTCTCACAAGAAGCAAAAAATCAGCTGCTTCAGTCCAGTTGTGAACATGCCCAGGAAAAACCTCAAGGGCAGAAATACAGATAGTAATGTGTATAAAATAAATTATGTTCCTGCCTTTATTTCCTGGTCTGGTGTAGGGGTTAGATAGGTTTTGTGCTGTACATGTAGAGATGAGTGCACACAGATCTCGTTGCCTTGAACAAGATACCCAGCCTCCTCCTATTTTTGAGAGGTGAAGCTAATAGTGTTTCAAAAATCAACTTAGAAGGAAAGCATCTGCTTTTGGGTTTGTTTTCTTTTGTTGTTGGCTTTTTTTTAATTAGAACAAATAACTTCCCTACCTGAGCAGTAGTATTGGACCTGTCTTGTTTGATTAGCATCAAAAGTGGGTGAGGTCATTCTAGAAAGGAATGAACTGGGTAATGCTGCAAATGAAAATGGAAAAGAGATTTTTGCTTTAGACTGACATTGACATTATACCTACTGCTTCAGGTGAATCCCCATGGTGAGGTTCATTGCAGCTTACTCATGAAAGCTTGTTGCTGTCAGTGGTGAAGGCAGATTTATCAGCTATATTGGCTTTCTCCCTTTGATAAGAAATCGATCTTTGTTTCTGAAAATATTAAAAAATAGGTATCTTAAAGTCTCAGTAATATCTACATCATATCAATAGCATCTTATTTCTTATTTCTGAGATTCATACATACAGTTCTCAAGAGAGCTGCTGAGAGAGCTCCTGAACAACAGGAGAACTTTGAATTTATTGGTTAAAGATGTCAGTTTGCAACAGGCCTGTTAGAGCAAAATTAGGGTTGTTATTGAAGTGCTACTTCATAATTTTCAAAATGGCAAAATATTGTCACTTCTTCAATGCAATTTAGTACTCTAAGTAAGTACAATCTTACAAGCTTGTCAAACAATGTACTGTTTTTCCCTAAATTTCAGGCATGTAAGGGATCAGCTGAACCCTATGTGCTGTGCTACCTGAGGAGCTTCAGATTGCTCTTTAGGCAGGACTGAGCAGCTCAGGAGTTCTCCAGGCATTTTGTTCCTTTTCCTTAATGAGAACAGAAATGGCAGTTATTTTCCTGAGTATTATTCAGACAAGTCTTTAAGACAGTGGCTATTGCATTCTTGGTGGTTTAAGTCCAGCTGTGTTAGAGCTGTAATGGCTCCTCTCTGTTCTTTAGTTGTTGGCCAAATAAAGCTCTAAAAATCCATTGAGAGCATTTCTGTCTATGCTGTGTTTAACTAATCTACGTTTCTAGAACCCTCTATTCCAGAGACACAGATCTGTTGATTTTGCTTCTTGTTAAGAGAGTTAAAGTCTTTGGATAGGAAGTAGTTAATTTTTACAGTGCCTTTTTGGGTTTGTTTGCTTCTCTTTGCCTTGTTCTATTTTTCCAGAAGGGGTTCTAGATAAAGAATGCTATTTTTCTGCAAGCAAAACACCGTTACCTGTTTTAATTCCTGGGTGTGAGATGTGTCAGCTCGTAGCTGTTGAGCTTGCCTATAGTGTTCCTCTGTGTATGAGTGTTCTGCTGTAAAACTGTCACAGTGAGAAAATGCAGTGGCAGTAAACCTGAAATACATTTCATGTTCCCACTTTTGCCCCAGTTTATGTACCCTGAAGTATTGTCTGGGATTTAACTGCTAATGGCTGAAATTAGAAAATGTAACTGGGAGAGGCTTTTCTTACGATAGAGAAAACGGGAGACTTTCACTTGTCAATTGCCTGTCACTTCCTTTCTAGGAAACCTGAGTAATGATGGATCCCTTGTGCTCTATGGGCAAGCCGCCCCTTGTACAGCTGCAGATCCCCTTGCTGCCATGAGGAGGTTTCAGGTTTTATTTACAGCC